CCTTCAGGCTTAGTATACATATTATTACCATAAATAAGCCCTCTGACTGACTATTATTTCATTAATGATAATTAGTATTGATAATAACAAATTATTAAACTATCGTAGCCAAAAAGAGGCCAAGTAGAACATCGTATTAAAAAATTTAAAAAAAATTAAAATCGTGTACATTAAATCCATACACCGCAACGCTCGAGTTTCAAACATACGGGTAACTAGCTGTACTGAACTTTCTGTGTAAATTGAGGGCGCCATTGAAAATGATAGTGCTTAGGCGGAATTTGATTGGCTGAATCTATGGCAGCCATCTTGGATGGTACACACACACAGCTCTGCGTATTTCGAACATCGAATACATTGCAGTTAGCGCTCTTGTATTCTTATTATATATCTATGGGTCCCACTCAAGCGACAGTGTGTAACAATGGAGGTATTATTAATAATACCGCCATGATGTAACATACGCAAACACGGCGCGTACGTTTGTGGGACAACACGTGGGTTTGTGAGACTCGCGCGTATTCCTGGCTCTGTTCCGATTGGTCAGTTTTTAAGTTTGATTGACATTCCGGAGTCAATTGAATTTTTGATTGATAACAAAATGAGAAGAAACAACAACAAAAAAAGTGATGATATACGATTAAACGATTGGTTTTGCCGTGTAACGAAGTCGTCGAGGAAAGGGTACCGGTTCTCTAATATTACTCTTGTTTCTGGAGCGTAAAAGCATAGACCCTATTCGTATAATATAGGCTATGTGGTAAAAGTGAAGTTTTATGCCAATAAATGACCTGGATTAGGCCTAGTAAGAGTCATGAACATGCATTGTTTTCCTGAAATTGCGTGTAATCGTTATTTACAATCGTGTAATCACACTGACTGGCATCAGAAACAGTAGGCAGGCCTTACTTGCCGATACAAAACAATGTTAATTGTGTTTTGTAAATTATGATTTACAAGTTAATTACATGGCCCTTACCTCATTTTGTTAACCCCGATGTTATTTTTCTCGCTGCGTTTGAATCGATTCGCCGTGTTCCACTGTAAGAAAGGTTTAGGTATATTCTCGCATGATGAATGAATATTGTTGACGCTTATTTTAACTTCAAACAATGACATGAATGGCATATAAGAATAAACTATGGAAATACAGGTGGCACCTGATCAAGGAATTCAAAATAGAGGGGTCCCAGAGAGGGACTTTCATAGATAGGCCTAGGGGGTGTAGACAACATCACCGTTGGTTGGTACTAAGAAAATTTATGATTATGACACTTCTAGATGGCCGGAAAATCCCTGAACCCCTGGCCGGAAATTTCCTGAAGCCACTGAAATAGGAATGAATTTGTATTTCAGTGTTAACATCGCAAATATCTTTTGGCTGCAAATAGGGTCTATCTGTTGAAACTACAGTATCCTTCCTATTAGAAGGGACACATTTTCGGCCGGCCACAAAACCAAGAATGTATATCGTTTAGCACTATACCCAAACCCTAATCAATGGGAACCCCTATTAAGGGGACACTTTAGAGGTAATTATTTTTGTTGAGTTGCTCAATTATGGACTTGTGTTGTGCTTGCTCAGTAATTTTGAAGTTGTCTAACGTCACTTTATATAACAGCTCGGTAGGAAAGCAGGCTCACAGCGAGCGAGTTTTGACACGCTTGTGGCGGCAATTTATTGGATAATGCAATTTACGGAACCTTTAGCAAACGTAAGTTATGATACGGTACCGTATCTCCAGCCAGGGCGATTATGACAGTGCAGTCCATTATTCTACTGGTATGTATGGCGCCCCCTGAGATGCTAAAAAAACAAGGTCAGTATCAGCAACTTCTTTACTTCCGTTCCTGTGGTACTTCACATGTAGCTCGTCGTGTAGCCTGGGTTTCATGCCCAAAGTTTGGGTTACTCACTCTTTATTGCGTTTATTGCGCGCCATACCTAATATAATTGGCGTGCCATACTCGATTTTTGTTTTTCGGATTACCGTTCTCTAGTTGGTGGCGCTCTCCAGAATGATAAAAAAAAACTTGTGATACCTTGGCGATGATACCTACCTATTTTTGTCGTCGCTTTGCAACCGCATGTTTAGCAAGGAAAATGGGTACTGAAAACACCGGTAAAATTTTCGGGGAGTATAATAGAATATTTGCAGCTGTCGGAGCAGCTACTGTATGCTATCTTACTTTCAAGATAGTTTCATCAGTTCTTCGTGGGCTAAAAGCGTACTACGTTAGTCGTACTTTAGGCCTAAATGCAAATTTAGCCAAGCTCGGAAAGTGGGCGGGTAAGTAAGAAGGAAGGAGAGAGACCGGCGTGGGCTTAGCTAGGCCAGGCCTCCGTATATAGGGTGTGTATTATAGCATGGAGGTATAAAATATTTTTATACCTCCATGATTATAGTATATTTTACCGCTAAAACCAAAGCCTGGACAGCAAAGCAAAGAGGTCAAAGCAAAGAAAGAACAATTTATTTTAATAACTAGGCCACGCTACCCTAGTAGGCTTAGGCTTTCTACAGGAGGTTATGACGGGTTCAGCCGCCGACAAGTTGAGCCGCCGGTCATTTCTATGGAACGCCAAGCGCGTCTCTCAGTGAATTTAGTGCGTTAATTGCGGCGTATTTCAATTATTCGTTCTTGGTACAGTACTGTTGTTCGGGATGTATTTCAGTTTATTTACTCAATTATTTCAATTTAATTGTTAATTGAAATACGCCGCAAACCAAACGTAAACAATAATAATCAAGTTATTACATTTTTAATACGATTTTGCATGACTATAAACAATAAATTTAAATGTGTTAGGCCTATGTTATTATACTGTATTTACTATGGTTTTGTAATTTATATATTTTTATTTTTGTAAATATGCCTGCCTATTCTTGACAGTAGCGTATGTCTAGTTAATGTTAGGAAAACATGATAAGCCTAGTTAATTTATGCAATAATCCTGCCTTACTTTGAATGGCAACAGTTTAATACTATGGAAATAAACTATGGTAAAATAGTAACTGTTTAATAAAATAATTAACCATGGCAGAATAACAATTCACATTTTAAATAGAATTAACAGTGGCAAAGAGGGACAACTAAAACGATTATTTAGCAAATAACTATGGCAAAGAGGCACAACTACAACATTTATTTATAGCAAATGACATGACAAAAAACTGCACAGTTTACTCGAATCAACTGTGTTCACTAAGCAAACAACAACTAACTTTTCCATATAAATCTAAATATATAATACATTTTCTAAATATTTTATTAGAATATAAAAAATAAACAATAATATTCATAATCATGTTATCATTACTTGAATTTGGATCATAGAGAAGAATTGCTAATAAAAATAATAATAATAATAGGCCTAATTTATATTGTAATTACATGACTTAAAATATATATTTATTATTTTACTTTGTAAATAAAATTTAAAAAATAATTGTAATTCTTGTTTAACGTACACATAGAAACAGTCACACGCGCATTCTAACTAAACAGCAGTTCTATTTCATATGCGCATGCATCCTTCACGCAGTGACGCAAGGCCTATGTGCTCTTGTGCGAGGCACCAGACCCCTGGGGGTACATAAGGACCCCTACCCACAGAGTCCTCGATCTAGCACCTTAAGCCAAAAATTCTTTGTTGATACATAACAGCATACCAATGTTTAATTCATTTTCTTGTTTGTATACTTGGTTAGCCTTGTTAGCCTTACATGGGTTTTTAATCGTTTGTAATTTTAGTATTTATTATTTAATGCGGTTTGTTTTGGTAGTATTGTACATTTATTTGATAGTTTATAATTTGACTTAAAATTGCATTGAAAGGAACTAAACTGTGTACTTATATCCTTTTGCCAAAGTTTGTCAACATGTCTTGAATCAGAAAACCCACGGCAAAAGGGCATAACTGACATTTTGAGCGCAAAAATCAATATTTATAAAAAAAAATGTGTGCTAAACTGGAAGAGACATTATTTGTTTATTTGAATACATTAACCATGAAATCAAATATTCAATCACATTTTAGGGCTAAGTAAAATACACGTTTTGCTTAATATCTCCAAACCAGCAAATTGTCAGTTATGCCCTTTTTGCCATGGGAGGGCAGCTACTGCTCAATATGCATAGTTACCAACCTGAGAGATTTTGAAATGTGTGACTACATCACCCAGGCTGGATGGAGGAGAGGGGCACCTTGCAATTCCCCAAAACGGGGTCCAGAGGCAGGCCCTGGTGGGGGTGTGGGCCCTTTAGTCACATAATCCAAGATGATACTAAGCCCTTGGTGGCTTGGTTGTTTTGTTTGGGAAGGAGAAATTTTCTCTGTTTATTGATTCTAACAAAATAATTACGAAAACTCTTTAAGAATGACTCAAGTTACTGCATCCATGACCGTTTTTATATATCTAATAAAACCAATTTCTTCTAATTTTAAATACATTTTCCCATGAATTTGTGATAAAAAAAATTTTCATCACGCATAGACTTGCGCTAAATGCGTGACAAATTTATGATCATGCATGTGTTTCTGCAAAATGCGTGTTTCATCAAAAATCACTTTGAAATGCGGGACCGTCCTGCACGATGCGAGACGGTCGGTAACTATGAATATGACCCACCACATACTATTTATTATTTATTCGGATATACACTTTTATATCAGTGGCACTCGGCCAGTTAGGTGGTGCATCTATAACAAAGCAAATAAGGGCAAATAGAAAAATTTATTACAGTAGATAATCATTCCCGCCTGCGTCAAAAATTTTGGAAATATTGATGCGGGAATAATTTTATTTATTTATATTTATTTTTTTTTGTAGCATCATTTATTTTAACTCAAACAGCATAAAAACAACTTTGCAAAAAACAATTTCTCACAAAATATAGAGGAATTGGCTCCGAATTCGGCAGACTTCAAACTTTTCCAATTTGATCAGACATTGGGATCGCCGTAAAAAGTTCAAAATGCAAAGCCCATTCTTTAAACTTGTTGTTTTTTGTTGCTAAAAATCAACAGCTCGCTAACTGCAGCTAAAAATAGGTAACACTGCGGTCCGTCCCTAAAGAAGCCCACCCAGTGGGCTGATTGCATCGTTGACTCACATGTTCCACAGGGGCTCTCGCTGCTAAAAATAGCTTGTTACATCATACATTACAAGTGGGCGGCCTTCCTTGTGATGGGTGTGTTTGGTTGGATTGATTGTTGTTGGGCAAAAACCAACCTATGACATCAAGAAAGAAAGAAAGGCAAAGGCTGGTTTAGCTCGAGGTAAAGAACAAAGCCTAGGCGCCTATGCCTACTAACTATAATTTGTTCCCTTCCCTTTGATGCTCGAGTAATATGCTCGAGGAATATGCTCGAGGAATATAGGCCTAGGCCTAGTTTTGGATAATAGGCCATTGAATCACAGGGAATCTCCGGGTATAATCCCGTCCCCCATCCCTCCCAAAAAAAAAAAATCCCGCCCTCATCAATTTTTTTAATAAAAGAGAGTGATAATCTAATGATTTTTTTCTATGTACCCGAAAAGTCTTAAAAATGTTAGGTCTAAAACTTGTTGAAGTTGGGGGTTTTCAAAGTATATAAAACAATTACAGCCCATGAAAATGAAACATTAGATTTGTCAATGTAATGAAGTTACTACTTTTTAAAAATTATTATTTTATTATTACAGTTGTGACTGGAGCTACCGATGGTATTGGCAAAGCATACGCTGAGCAGGTATGGCCTATTTATTGTAGTACAGTACTTTTTTAATGTGAAAAGGTGATTCACTAATCAAATTTCAGTTTAAGAGGGAACAATAACAGTAATTAAAACTGTGAACTCGTCACTAAAGACGAGTTTGGTGATCCGCCGTACTTTGACTCTTATAAAGCGCACGCGTTGCCGATTGAAAAGTTTCATAATATGCTAAAATATTCTGTACAACTAGTGTTTTAAAAAAGAATAATTTTCAGCATTTTAAAAGATTTACGCATGCGTAACACGTACGCCCCATGAGCACGGTAATGGTACAAAGAGTGACTCCTGATATGAATACAGTGTCAGGAACACAAAATATGTAACAAAACGTGATTTCAAGTTACAGTACGTTCTGTGTGCGTGGAAGTGAACATATGGCGTGTAAATATGGAAAGTTTTGGAATGCAGAAAATGAACCGAAACGTTTAAAACTATCTGAATAGTTATATTGAGAATTTTGAAATTTAACATACTGTACACATGTGTGCGTGTACAGTAATGGCAGACGAAATTAAATATTGTCGTGTTTTTAAAACTGTCTGTTAGTTATTAATGCCAAAAATTCAGTTTTTTCTTAATTCAAATGGCAATATGATGACGTCACAATGTCCGATCAGCCAATATGATCTATAAAATCGTATCTACAACTCATGTGCTTTCAGAATATGTAATAAAAATTGGGGGTCACCTTTCATCCTAAGGAGCTATAACTGATTAAAAATATTCATGGTTTTATGCATATATATATATTTGATGTGCACGTACGGCATTGCTATTGGCCATAAGATGATCAAAAAGAATGGAAATTTGTGAAAACAATGTCAGGAACCCAAACTATGTGAAAAACCATAATGTCTAGCTTCCGTACAGTACGTGCTGCGTTTTTAAGAAAAAAAGAAGAGACAGTACAATAACAAGAGGTGATCCGCTCGAGAAGCGGATCACCAACAATAAAATTTTGTGATTGTAACTAATTCTTGCATCGATAATAAGCCAACACAATTTCATGTAAATAGATTTATGTATTTTATAATTATTATATACGATTTCATATGTTTACTGTAAATTATTAGCTTTAAAAGGAATTTTTTAAAGTTAAAAGCATTATAATATTATTGGTGATCCGCTAACACTAGCGGATCACCTCTTGTTATTGTCAGGATCATCATCATCATCTTCATCTTTTTTTTATTCTTCTTTCTTTCTCCCCTTTTTGGTTCGTACGATATCTCAAAAACTGCCACGAGTTACGCAAAATCGCTGTCAGCA